TGCAGCCTACGCCGTCGCCGGCGACTCATGGCAGCCCAGCTCCAGGTTGAGCTGTTGTTCAGCATCTTAGCTGTAGAGGGCAGTGTCACTGGCCCTCATATGTGGGATCTGAACTGGGGCCCTCTGGCATCCCAAGCGAGTTCTCAACCATCGCACCACTCGGCCGGCCCCAATTTGGGTTTACTTTTGACAAATAATTTCATCCACATATAGATGACTATGTTTTACTTTGATTTTCTTTTGCTATGGCAGTATATTTGGGAATTGAAATGTCAACCAATATTTGTGGAGGGCATCATTACCAGAAAAGGTATATTGGGCTATATGGTCCATGATGCTACAACTTAATAATGATCCTGAGCAAGACATTTATGTTTTCATTATTTTATTTTAGTGACATAATTGTGAATTGACAGTAAGTTAACTATCCCTCCTCTTTACCTCTAGATATAGCAAATATCTAGTCACCTTTCTATACCCCATTTAAAACTGAAAAGGCTGTTGATAAAAACTGTAGGGAAGTAAGGAAACCTAGGATCAGAGATATGCAATACTCTAGACTGTCCCATATTGTCACAGTGACTGACACCCTTGTAGTTTATAAGTTTTTGCTTTTCCAATATGTAAAAATTTCAAGCAATTCTACTGTATCATATCAAGTATATTATAGTATTAATATAAAGCTAACTTATATTAATGGCATATACTATTCTGTTCTTAATACTTAAGGATGAATCTACTAAGTAAGTGCATCAAAAATAATAGTTACTTAATAAATACTAGTTGATCTATTATTCTCTGAGAAAAGTTCTTGGTGATTAGAGAGGTACCGAGGTCCTATATTCTGAATAATAGGCAAAGTATGACAAGAAAACCTTAAGTAAACTTGATTTACTTTGATTTTCTGAACTCTTTAATATTTATTTAGTATAAAAGACCCACCTAGATACATTATTTATGATAATTACTATTTTTGGACCAGTTAAAGCCTACATAAGTATTATTTATATTGAAAATCTGCAGTGAACAGTGTATGTCTTTTGTATACTATTTCAGTGTAATCCAGTAACCATACTTTCTGACTTGAATGTAGAAACACTGAATCCTATATTTGGAAAACTGTCCCATCACCAAAGCAGAAACCCTGCTTTAACCTTAACAGAGGTTGTAACTAATGTAATAATATGCTATTATCATTTATATTAGAAAATTTGATTATCAGAATGAATTAAAATATGACCAAGCTGAACAACAGAAAATCAAAATAGCAAAATAGAGTTACATTCAAGTAAAATGCTGCTCTTATGATGTAATCCAATTAAATGCAGCAACCTTTTCAATCCTACCAAATCTTGTTTAGTATGTATTATAATTGCATCATAATTACTAATATAAAGAAAAAGCTGGTTAATTATAATCTCAACATTAGAGAAGCAAAAATTACAGAAATTAAAAAAAAATGCAAGTCTAAGCAGTTATTTCAGCTTGGAAGTCAACCTCCGTGCCCAAGTTACACATCTTTCAGAAATTAACTGAGAATAGGTCACTTGACCATTGGAGCTTACATAATACTTATAACTGTATTATTTGGAGTACTTCAAAAACTCCATAATTTATCTATACTACATATATTTCAGCAAAGAGTTTTAACCTACTAAGTATGTCTGTTCTTAGTCCTGGGATAGATACAAAGATGAGAAAGACATAGTTTCTGTATATTGAGTTTATTATCATATCTTAGTTTATTATCATCATTAGTTAACTTTGTTACAAAATATTTAATCAGTATATAGAAAATATAAGTAAGCCAGTATAGTGCCTGGTGTACAATAAAGGCTTAATAAGTGGCTGCTATGATTGAATGGAAGTTATGTGGTAAGGTGAAAGAATAGGTAGTAGATCATGGATAATCGAATATGCTAGAGTTACCATGTACAGTTTACAAGGATTATCAATTTTTGAAGAATTGAAAGCTACTCCTTTTCATCTGAAGGCATACTGAATCAACTGAAAATTGAAATTTTCTCTTTTACTTATTCAGAATGCATGCCAGGATTTTAATGTCATCATTGTAGATATAATTCTGCTATGGATTTTGTAGACGAGCTAATTTATAGAATACTAAAGAATTAGTAAAAATTTACTGTGATTACATAAATGCTTCCACTTGCATCTGGCCAACACTAATACACATCCCAAGAAGGAAGAAATACTCTTTTGTCTTCTCCAAATCATTCAAAGAAATTAGAGACGACTGGTTAAATTTACTCTACTTGTTAGAGGCCCTTGGTGGCTATTAGTAAAAAAATATTCAGTTTTCACACATAAAAAGGGCAATGATTTAATAAATCAAAGAAAAATTACTGTAAAAATAGAGGTGAGGGTGTTTGCTTGTTTCTTTTGGCCCGTGTTCCCAACCATGTTGCCTTTTGATACCATGTGGCTGACAGTAAATTTCAACCTGTAACAAATCTACTCGTATGGAATCAGAAAAGTTCTTTCTGCTTTACCTGCTAAACTACCTTTCCCTTCTGAAAGTAAGACGCAGATTCAATGCCTGGTATAGTAGACTCAGACTTTACAGACTAGTATAGTGTGTATATATATATATATTTTAATAGCAGAGTAGCTTAAAAAATTATGTTGTACATATTAAAACATTGCCACTTGGTAGATAATATTTCCCTCAATAAAGAAGTTGTCTTGTTTCTAGTTACTGTAACTATCACCAAAGACTTGCTATGTGTTTGGATATGCATTTTATAATGTACAATGCTATATTTAAGCATGTCATCTTACATGAACCACATGATTTTATCCTGTTATAATTATACCTATATGTACTTCTATTAGGTTTGCTTGATTCTTTAATTTATATTTTTCTAATTGCCGAGTTGAATTTTATGACATAACTAAGTGATTTAGAATGTTTACCTATTTTTCTAAATAAATAAAAACTTATTAATAGGTTATAAGCCAAAAAAGTAAAGGATTTGATTGTCTGTATTGAATATTAACTTAAAAAAACCCCCAACCATCTACTTGTCTTTTGTTTGCAAATATTGCTTCCAAACCACAGGATGACCAATGATAATGGTTCTTTTAGTTTAGAATAGTGAGAAGAGAAGGGATGAAACGGAACAGAAACCTATGTGGTTAATGATCTTTTATTAGCTCCAATGGTAAAATATAGTCACTATCAGAACCTAAAGTTATTTAAAGGAGAGGTCCCACTTGACATGTGTAAGTCGCTTATTTTTACCCCCTCATCCCCAAAATAAGACCCAGTGTGTGTGTGTGTGTGTGTGTGTGTGTGAGAGAGAGAGAGAGAGAGAAAGAAAGGGAAAATGAATAAACATAATTCATACTACTGAGATACTTTTTCCATGGGTGCAATATTTTTTCACTAGGGAGTCTCGTTGCTTAGTCTATATGGTGATAGATATGACACCTTAGACCTGGTTATCAGAACACTCATCTTAGGAGAAATGTGCTACATGGAGAAAAAACTTACATCTTTTACTAAAAGTATAATAGAAAATAATGAGGCATACTTTCCTTGTGAAACTACAACTATAACTTTACATTTACATTTATAACTATGTATATTATGATAAATTTCTCAACATTCTGTCAGAAAAACAAACAGTATTTGAACAATTACAAAGTTGGGTACCACTGCAATGGTTTCTCTTGAGAACTAAAGCAAATTAGCTCAAGACTCAGTATTTCTACAGTCTCGTTCCTTTGGCTTTAAGTGGCTTCTGAAGGGAGCATCCCTAGATGAGAAACTTCTAACACTCCTGCAGAGATGACCTGCTTGAAGAACTGGCTGCCTGATTAACTATTAACTGCTCTCAATAGGATTAGATAATTAAGGACATTGATGACCATTAATTAGGAGGAGGGCACATTAATTTGTCACTGGATAGGGCCCTTACAATGATTTATAGGTTAGTGCTACTTGCAAATGTGAGGGGAAAGAGAAAAAGAGAGAGAACCATTAAGTTACCTTATCAAGTGGCCAGCTAAAGAGGGCAGAGGGTCAAAGAAGGGCCAAAGTGGTCACTTAAGGGTGAAGTCCCAAACACCAAAGCTGTGCCAAGCCACATTGACCATCATTTGGTGATGAAGTTAAAAATATGCTAATTTATTGGTGGCAATTCTCTCTTTTTATGGTTTCAAGCAGTTAAGACAAGTGGCCTGCTTAAGAGCTTTTCATTTGAAAAGAGATTAAACAAAATGGTTTGTCAAGGCAGCTTGGCTGTTTTATGTCTTTGTTAAAAAAAAATTGCACTGACTATACTGATAACTATCACATCACCCAAAAGCCATCTCTCTCCGAGCATTTATTTCGTTAATAAATACATCAACCTTAATTGCTTAATAGTGCTATGTTCATTTGCTCTTTAGCAAGATTAAGTTGAAATAAATCTTTTGTATTACCACTTTCTGTCACTATTGCTTGCGTAAAGGTCACTAAAAAAGTTTAAGTTGTGTAGAAAATTTACTTAAAGCCATTGATGTAAATTATAGTACTTTGTTTTATTCTGCACGGAAAGCAGAAAGGTGATTTCACTACTAGTACAAAAACCTGCTTTTAGAATGTAGATAAGGATCCTCTTTTCTTAGCCATACACAATTGTGGGTAGCATTCACATTCCACACACAAATAAGCACAGCTCATTAACATTTAATTAAATATGCCTTTGAAAGCCTTGGAAAAATGCAAGTCATACTCATCATGTAAGTTTGGAGCTTACTTTTAATAGACATTTAAAATAAAATCATTTTTGCTATACTCTAATAATATGCCATTAAAAGAAAAAAATAGGATAGTCTAAAACAATTGTCTTGTTATACCAAAAGAACTTAAAAATATTTAGCATGAAACATCTAAGAATTTCAGTGAAGTAAAAAAAAAAAAAAAATATATATATATATATAAAGAGAAACTATTTACATCAAGACTAAAGTAAAATATAAAAATTCTCTCTTACCTCAATGGTGAATAGCTTCCTTTTTAATTTAAAAGCTAAGTCTTTGACGTCTGATACATCACAAATCAAGTTATTAAGCCGAGGAATCTGCCGTATATGAATCAAACCTTGTGGAAAGAAAATTAAAAGGAAAAAATTAAAAACGCTGTCACAGGATGCATAAATTAAAGAGTCTTGGAGCAGAATCCTGAAATTTACACACAAGCATCCTCCCCTTTAAAACTGGAGCTTACTACCAGGAGCAATGAAGCAAATGGTGTGATTATACTCAAGTAATCAAGCAGAATAAGATAAACAGAAATCCTTGTGCGAGGAAAACTAATTGCACTTCGGTACAGAAGTACAGATGTAAAGAGGGATCTTAATACTTGTCAAAACTACAGCCGGTTTGTGTGTGATTTTCTCTTGTATTTACAGTAAGCAAATATGGCTATCACCTTGCATGCTGCCCACGGCACCACTGAGTGATCTTTATTTTATTAAATGCACCAGTAAGCAGCCAGGAAAACAAGGCTTATGGGTTACTGATAACCAGTGAAGCACTAATGAAAAGTATTTCATTTTGTACCTTATTAATGACTTGAACAAACCATTGAAGAACACTACATTTTAGAGCACACTCTAGGATCAAACATTAACCCCTATGCCACTCCAAGACACTCATTTCTGTGGCATGTTGGACCTTTATCTAGCTGCTATAAGCTTTGCAGCAGTGCTAGGTAAACCTTGAGCTTTGGCCTCTTGTCAGTAGAAACACTTGCTAATTTTTTCTGACAAGGGCACTGGTGGCTTTTGTAAAGCTTAATGCAGTTTCTGACTAAACTAGGGGTCATTTGCCACAGAGGAAGACATGAAGACTCTTTAGTGCATCTCTCTGCCTGACTCGGTCCATATTTAAAAATCACCATCATTGATCCCTCAACACAGGGGAAGAAGGCAAATCCAGGTCTGAACAAATTAGATAAATCTTACTTATAGGATTGTTTCTCTAGTATATAGTTTTGTGTGGGCTTGGATGCTTAGCAACATATATACTCGTTTTGGCTTAAAAGGGTAAACCTCCAGGTACTTAACTTTAGAAATGGCCCTTCAAAAATAATTCACTAAACTATCTGACTTATTTTTTAAAACTTAAAAGAATGCAAAAGATGTTAAGACAGCTTTCAGATATAAATGAAAAATATGTCATGCAGAATTATTTAGTAAAATATATTAGAAATAAGCACTGTATACTTTCATTTGCACATTTTTTTATTTTAACCCTTAATGTGCTTGTTTAGCTATTAACTCAGGAGGCTTTACAGAATGAATGAATGATTCATCATGTTCTTCTTATTAATAGAAACTTTACTTGTCATCAGAATCACCCACAAATCTGTGAGGAATAATTTATCAATTCAGCACAAAAAAATCAGAGCCTTTCAACCCCTGAAATGTTTTAATCAAATTAATTTTTTTAGAATATAAAAAATAATTTTACTAAATTTGCAAGGGCATAATACTTACAAATGATACTCAGATGTTATTTATTAAGGTAATACTTAACTGTTTTAAAAGAAGATAGAAATAATAAAAAATTAAAGAAATAGTTTATCTAGTTATAAATCCTGGGGATATAATGTACAGTCTGGTGACAATAAGTAATAATACTGTGTTGTTTATTTGAAAGTTGCTAAGTGAGTAGATCTTAAAAGTTCTCATCACAAGAACAAAAATTTGTAACTCTGGTGATGAATGGTAAGTAAACTTCTTGTGGTAACCATTTCTCACTATATCACATATCTAATCATTATGTTGTACACCTAAAACTAATACGTTATATGTCAATTATAGCTCAATAAAAAAAGAAATAGTTTACTCTTAGTAGCTCTCTATCATAATATATTAAAATAATAATATATTAAAAGAATCAACCTGGGCATATATCATGTGCACACTTAAGCAAGTAAATGATCATGAGGCACATTATTTTATGTAGCTTTTTGTTCACAGCTTCATTTTATAGGCTTTTGAACAACACTTGTTAGAGTCTACTATTTTATTTTTTAAAGGTTGTATGCTGACTACCAAAGCAGTGACAATCATCATGTAAAGTATCTTGTAATTTTTTTTGTAGACTCTAGAAATTGCCACAGTCCTACAATCACAAGCTTACACAATCTTGTAGCAGGCTTCAAATAAACTATTCAGTATTCAGGCTAGAGGTTTCCACGTAAGTATAGTAGTTCCACAATAATAACAGAAATCATTAATATTTACACAGAATAAGTAAATAGGTAAAAATCTATTATTCATCACACTCTATATTCAGTTTAGATCTAAAATACACATAATTACTAACCTTTTCTATTGCAATACTTCTATGTAAGAACCTTTATAAAAAATCCCCAAATTAACCAAATGACTAAAATACTGTTGAAAGCTTCAAAGATAAGCTAAAAAGTCTGATTAATTGACCTGTGTTTATACTAGTGTAATGATATTTTTAAATTTGTTCATAACTCAAATTAACAACAAAATGAGAAGACAGAGAAAAGTCCAAATATAATCATAGATGCTCACTTTCTGAATATGTGAGTGACTAGGACTTTTAAAACATAATACAGTATGAATTTTCTTTTTAATTTATCATACAGCAAAGCTTTGTAAAGTATAAACCTTTATACAAAGCTGTTATTAAAATTAATATATTTATTTCAAACATGGCTAATAAGCATGACTTTTTTCATGGCAACTTGAGGCCACTGGGACAACAAAATGTACATGTGGCTGAGCCATTCCTTAGTGCTTGGGTTTGACTCTTTTCAAATAGTTACTGTCGTCTATAGTCTCACTGCAGTTTGATGACAAGCTGCCATGGAAGACTGGCCAGGAAAGGAAAGCATTTAACAGATATATTATAAAATAAATATCATGCTACTTGACAGTCGATAGTGTGACTGACGAGATGCTTCCAGGTACCCTAGAAGCAACCAGGACATGCTCTTCTCATTGTAAAGGTGCTGCTTACCATGGTAATCCTTATATAATGGGTGGGTTTCTCTCTCAGAACCAATAAATGACTCCAGATGAACTACTGTATCTGACAAGTTTGTAATACGAGAAATAATTGCTTTATTCTGTAAAACAAGGAAACAAAACACTCGTGTTATATATAAAAGTATAACACCTATACAGCGTTGTTATGCCATTTCAATGACAAATTGTAGAGGAGACAGATTATCAACATACAGAAATGACTGAAACGTTAAAGGTACCACAGGCCAAAAACTATGAAACTATGCCCTTAGTTGAAAATTCCAGCCCATGTAGATATGCTATTTTAATTCAAAGAGTTGAGGGGATATACCTTAATTTTGGTAGAAAACATAGCTTATTTTTCCTCTTGTCTTAAGGGGCAAGGCTACCTTTATGCTCATATACTATTATTTTTCAAATTACTTTACCCATTGCCCATTGGAAAATCTGATGGACACCAGGATTCGGGAGCAGTAGATACTATGGTAAAATGTGTAAGGCAAGGTCCCATTGTCCTCTGTCAACTGGGACCAGGTCCCAGTCCCGTAACAGCTGAGGTCCTCTATGTCCTATTAGAAACAGGGAAGGGTCCAGCTAAGAGGCTGCAGACTGGCTACCTCTGGAGTCTTCTGTTCTCTTTCCAGATGCCGCTATTTGGCTCTGGGATAACAATAAAGGCAAAGAAAAGATGGCAGGTAACTAGCACTAGACTAGTAGCCTACTCTTTCTTTCCGAACACAACATGATATGAAGCAAAAATATTGCTAAACAATGCATCTCTAAAAAGTCAGATTTTAAAGTAGCAAAAGTCCTAAAATACGCAGAATTTCATGGCTTTAAAATGCAATCATTAAAAATACAATTAGTAAATATCTTGCAGGCTTTCTTGAGTTGTTTTACTTAAAGGAAATCCAGTATTCCTTTTAGGCCCAGACAGGATGATAGGTCAGAACACTGGTTTATATGCTGTAATGTCTTAGAAAAAATTTTCCTCTGAAGATCTAGAGAAGTTGAAAAGAATTGTTTGTAAAATTTTATAATTTTGAAACTCCCATTTTATCTACTAGTAATGTCCACCACTTTAAAACTAATCTTTAAAAAAAGATGGGAAATGTAAAACAGTCAAGAAAATTTATTAGTCTGATGTTCTGTCCCATTAGAGAAAAGTCCAAATATAAGCAAAGATGTTCACTTTCTGAAAATGTGATTGACTACCGAGCTTACGGGTATTCTTCTGTTTCTTAAGTCCTCTTGTAAAGATTGTATAAGAATGAAAAATAAAACAGGGCTGGTCAATGTTACCTGACGTGGTATAAAATACATAGCAGCCTCTGTCACTAAACATTATGCTGAAATGACTGGTTAACTCACACCTAGGACAGTATTTGAAACTCATCCATAAGTAGAAATGTGTGTGATCTATAAAGTAAGTTTCAGCCTTTGAAACAGTGCTCTTAAAAGGAACCAGTAAAAATTACTCATCATTGTTTTTAATTCTTTTAATCACGTGAGCACTGAGTATAGAAAAACAAACATAATTTGGAAACGCTTATTTTTTCTAAGGCAATTTTTCATTCAATGGTGAGAAAATAATCCAGATTAATTCCTTACTTTCAGTTCTGTGCCACAGGGGATGGTCCTTCTCCAGGAATAACAGGGGCTTCAGAGGCCATAAACATGTTACTCTCAATATTTCTTTAGCCAAAGACCATTATATCAAACTCATCCAGGTTGGGTTTCAGCCAGTTATTCTTCACCCAAACAAAAATGTCTGCCAGACATTCCAACAGCTGGGAGACAGTTCACAATGAGTCAACTTGAAAATGATTCATTGTGCTGGGTACTGAACAATGTTGGGGTGGGGGTGGGGTGTGGCTGGGTTGGTTGTAGAGGGTGAGAACAAGTGGGAGATGAAGAATAACCATGTGGTTCTCCTATTAAGAAGAATCTTAGATAACGACCAGCAGGCTCTTATCATTTCATTTTTAGGATAAACTCAACTGGGACGATGATTACTCCTGTCAAGGACCGTCAGATGAACAAGCACTTAAAAAGGCTACTGACAATATTTCTTAATCAAAAAGGTCAGATTTCCTTTTATCTATAAATAGAAGACTAAGTTTTTTTGTCTAAATATCTGAATCTAAAATGATAAAAGTCAATTTTTGTTGGAGCTCAAATATTTAGGATTTCAGTGATATAAATTAGGGTTTTCTCAATTATATGAACAATAGGAACTGTAAGATTTAAGGATGGGATTAGTCTTCCATTCTAGTAGTAGATAAGCAAAATCCTGTGTATTTAAATGGTCAACTTGACATTTATTTATTTCAAAAGAGGGTTCTTTCTTTAATTTAGCCTTAAAATTTATTGGCAATCCATTTAATACCTTGTAGTATTTATCAACATTATAAGTCTTTTTAAGGTAGCTTGTGGGAGATAAAAAAACTTAATTTCCACTTTGCAGAGGAAAAACTAATGAACTCCAAATATAAAAGATGTGTCTAGCCTAGATTTCAAATCTCAGAAACTCATACATGTATTTCATTTATTATATTTCTAAGTTCCATAGGTTTACATCATAGTTATTTACAAACTAAATTCTATATAAAAGCTGTCATGAAGTATTAGAACAAGAATAAACTTTTATCATACTAATAACATAAAATAAGTTATACTTAACAGTGACCTACTCCTTTCTGTACAGTAGCTTTGGACAACAGTTTATGTAATGTGACAAACCAGATTAACTGTGAAAGTTGTAAAGACATCTGAAAAATGTCTATAGAATAAAAAGCACTAGAAATTACACACCATCTAAGTTTCTGACTGAGATAAACTTTAAGTATAAACTAATATAATATTCCAATTATTTGTAAAAGCATACAAGATTTTTGGGTATGGAAGTGTACATATTTTTTTAAAAAAATTAAGTGTTTTAGATTATTTCTGTACCTCCAAGATTCATAGAATATAGTGTATTGATGTAATACCTTAAATTCATTCCTGTCCAAAGGTCTTTTAAATCATAATATTAATACTAAATGGTTTTTTTGATAAAGGTAGGTGAATTTACTTGAAAGAATCTGAAATTAATGATTGCAAAAAAATATCCTTAGAAGTATAATAATTACAATTCACTTTAGGAGAAATACACTATGGACAATAAAGTGTCATAATATAACTCACAGTGTTTAGAAAGCTTTAGCGTAATGATCTGAGCAGAGGCCTTGACATTGGAACTTCCACATTCTCATCCTAACAGATTCTAAGTATTTTTATGTTATTAGCCAGGATATAAAATCTTTGGCCTGCAGTATATATAGTTGAAAATGATTTGTTCATCAATTACTTAGACATAAGTTTAAACATAATTTTTTTTTGTTAGTTTTGTTGTTACCTTACAGTTTCCAATAAGAAATACTTAAACAAGGATATTCAGGATTCACCAGTATGAGTAAATTAATGATTAGATGGCACGCATGGCATAATGACATCACCCAAATATATACAATGATACTGCCATCCCTCCTCCTTCCCCATCTGGATGTGAAAATCTAGGATGGCTCAGAAATCCTTCTTATACGAGACAAATCTCCCTTCACTCCTGGGTGAAAGTTGTCAGCTCTGGATAGTAGCCAAGACATGACTAGGAGGGAAGCCAGAAGAGAAGAGAGCCAGTGTCCAGGAGTTATAAGAGTTTGCTGGCAGTCTCAAATACCATTGTATTAAGTTACATAAAAGGCTCTTAAAACTTTCTGTTGCAGTATAATTTCTTAATTAATTAACTTTAAATTATGTTCAGCGCTGTTGCAAATAAAAAGGCAAATCAGATTGTCCAGTTGTCTACCTTCATACTCCAATTTCACAAAAAATTTGAGTTTTTGTTTTGATCGTTCCTTGTTTGGTTTCACAGAATGCTTTCTGTTTGCTTTTATAGACTGGTAACTTCTTTTTATTAGGATACACCAAATCCATCAAATGGACTTTAAATAGTGCAAGGTTAATTAATGCTCCCTTCTAATTCAAAGCTCATAAAGCCAAAACTATGAACTTTGTTAAGAGATAAAAATTCAACTACTGTCATGTAAAGCTCACTGCTTTTTTAACATAAATAGTTCAGATACTTTCTTAGAATAACCAAGTAACAACCAGAATACCTCAAACCCTGAACTTTCTTGGATCTAATTATCTCAACAATGTAAAGATACAGTTTGTATTAATACCACATATACTTTACTTTTTGGAAAATATTTAACAAGAGAATTAAAAGGCAATTAACCAATCACTTAATTATCGAGAAGCTTGAAAGAAATAAACAAATGGACATAAAGCATTTATGCAATGCCTCAAATAAGAGTATGTTCTTGGGTCACTCAAATAGGGTAGGAAACACAGCAAACTCAATATGAAGGGTAGAGTCCCTATTTGAATATGACACACACATCAGATTTGAGACTACATAGCACAAAAACACTATTAAGTTAATGTTGAAAAGTTAAAGAAATATTTAAATTGCTTTACGTTTGACTCAACCACATGACATGATGTGTGTGTGTGTGTGTGTGTGTGTGTGTGTGTGTGTGTGCATACTCAGCAATTCGAGTTATAATAACAGTTTCTGAAAAAGATATACATAGAAACAGGATCATACTAGAACTTACGATATTTTTTTACCATGTAATAAAAAAAGAATTGGGTAAAAGGATAAATCTAGGGACATTTAATGAGGTATTTGTTCTTCCATGCTTAAGTTCTTCATCCTATAGAAATTGAGACTATGAAGTAATAAAATTGCTTATACTATTTAAAATTTTTTACAAACCTTCCCCTTTCTTCCCCAGAGTTGTCACTTATTTCTGTGGATTAGATTTTTATTTTATTTAAAAAAATTGATAGTGGGGAAAATCTGTTTGTAATATTTTAAGAAAGACTAATTTTATCAAATAAAATTATACTAATAAACATTTATAATATTAAAAATAATATTAATACCCTAGGGAAGGTATTAAATTAAATCTTTCCAGATGTAACACTAAACTTTATTCAGTCACACACAGTTAATTTTAAAATATAGAGGAACTTTTGTAAATTAAAAAAA